TTCACGTACTTAAATGAATCAGCAACACAAACCACCTAAATAACAATCAGAGGTCAAACCTCAGTCTACAACTTAAATCCCCCAAACTTGACCAAAATTTAACTTGGTCAAAAAGTTAACGATAATGTTCAACGCATCGCGAATAGCTAATGGGAGTGTCACGATCACAAGGCTAAAATACAGTAGCGAACCCAGTCCAACACTCACATCGCGACCTAACTTGGTCACATCACACTTTCTGATGTGGAAGCCTTTTTCTCATTAAGCACTTGATCCATTCATATCAAGGCTTAAACTTTCAGATCCGAATCTATCAAAGGAATTAATGGATAAAGTTTATAAACTTATCTATATCTCAAGCCCAATCAAACCTTATCTCCAACTCTAACTCATAAATATCCCAAAAATGAGTTAAATCCTTTTAATGGAAACAAGAAACTCAAACATACACTCCTAAGGTTCCAAGCAAGTATAGAAATCACCCAAAGTTAAAAAAAAATAGTCTTGGAGTTCTCCAAACTCCAAGAACTTCATAAAAAGGACCAAAAGAGATCAAAATCTCTTCACAGGTCTATATCCAAGCATGAAACCGAATAAAGCATGGAGCTTTAAGACTCATAGTGTAAATAGAGGGTCTAGAAGGTGGAAACTTCATCTGGAATCACTTTCCAAGATCCACACACTTTCTTCTTCTTCAAGACTTTCACAAACACACCAAGAATCTCTTAAAGGCATAAAAGGAGGCTAGGGTTATGTTCTGGAGATGGAGTCTGGTGTTAAGAGAGAACTCTAAAAGTTAGCATCATTATATAGGGTCCAAGGCCTCATACCTAAGGTTTTAGGCTATGACGGCTTTGCATCACGACCTATACATGGTCGTGTCACTACTTATCGACGTAACTCACGACACAACATCCAGAAGTTACGTCGTACTTAGCCAAAAACCCAATTCTCAATTTTAATTCAAACTTTAACACCCTATTTCATGTATGAATTTTACTTTTAAATTTTTGAAAAGTTTGGATGGCCACGACATGGTGAAGGGATCACTACGACATGACATTGCTGCATAAAACGTGTGTTTCATTTAGGCACCACGACGTGGTCACACTATGGCCACGACATGGTGATGACAGAATGCCAAAACCTTAGATTTTGCGAGCTTTGAGCCATATTTAAGGAATATGGTGGCTAGGGTTTCATCCACCCTCAACCTCCATCACTCCTTTTGACCTTAAGGCAGAACCTTAGCCCCTCTTCAAGTTTTTGAGCTCATCCTTGGTGTTTTTGTGACATTTGAAAGAAGAAGAAGAAGTTATAGTGCAAGGAATCATCAAGCAACTCATATCCACCATTGTTGGCATCTTTTGGACCTTTGTAAGTCATCAAGACTTGATCTTTTTGGCTCATTTCTTATAGATCTAGGATTATTTTCATGTTTTGGTTTATAGTTGAGATTTAAATGGTTGAATGAGATAAATTTTGCAAGTTTACGACTCACCAAGGTCCCTTAAGCATAATATCTTCTAGATATAGAGGTTAGATGAGAATTATGAATCATGCATGTGGTTTAAGTCATTTTTTCCATCTTTTGGCCTACCTTGAGTGAGGGACATGCATGTCCACAAAGTTTGGATTTTTATGGATCTTTAGGGTCCCAAGAAGCTTACTAGAGATTATGAACAAATGGCTTAACGTATTAAGGTCTCAATCCATTAAGCTGTCCAGATGTGGCAACCACGGTATGGCGAAATGGAAATCCGCGACTGTTTTTGGCATTCAACTACCATGATGTGGCGACATTCTAAGTTGACTTTGACCGTTGACTTTTTGACCTAGTTGACTTTGGTCAAATGGCTAGTTTAGAATGTAGACTAAGGTTTAACCTTGAATGTTTCGATAGGTGGGTTGTATCACTAGTATCTCGAGTGTGAGGTGAGTTTTCTCACTATACTATGTAGGTTGCTAGATTTTCTTTGTGACACTTGCATGAAAGATGTGGTTGGATCACAACAATTGTATGAAATACTGTGGTTGGATCACAACATTTGTATGAAAGACCATGGTTGGATCATGACATGAAAGATTGTGGTTGGGATGTAGCAATGGAAGTAACTATAAGACTATGGTTGGATCATAACATTCACATGTTTTAAAATATACCCCAAGGGCTAGACCTACTAATATGTATGGTATGTGGTATTTTGAGAAACCCACTAAGCTTTGTGCTTGCGGTTTTATGTTTAAATGTTTCAGGTACTTCTGGTTCCAAAGGAAAGGTCCCCACCTGATCACACTACATCCCCTGGAGTTTTATTCCGCACTATCTTTTTATGATCCACTCTGATGTTTTGATGATACTTTATACTTTGTTTGTCTTTTGAACAAATTAATGAATGTTTTGGGTTGTTTAAAAATGAACTTTTTACTTAGTATTTTTGGGACGTTACAAAATTATTACGAAAACAACTCATACCTGGAAAATGGGTATGACAAGAAAAAAATCAATACAATGGTTTTACACACCTGATTCCTCCAATTGCTTTCACAAATTTGCATCTAAGGGTACCGTCCAACATTATTGCTTCCTTTTTGTCCCTCTTGCCATTAATAAAAGATATGTTGTTTTTCAACTTAAGCAACGATAAGACGATTCAAAATTTTCTAAACATTTAAAATATCAAAAGGACACATGCTCAACATTATCCCAGTCAAAACTGACGTGTAGATCATAAATTGATGTGTATATCTATGGCTGTAAACGAACCAAACGAACACGAACGGGACTTGTTCATATTCGTTCGTTTAAGTTAGTCGAACAAATGAACGAACACAAACGGATAAACAAACGAGTTTTCTTGTTCATGTTCGTTCGTTTAACAAATAACATTGTTCATGTTCGTTCGTTTATGTTCGTGAACATGCTAAACGAACATAAACGAATGAACATAAATGAACAAAGATAAACAAACATAATTCGAGCATATATAAACATTAATGAACATATAATATAGTAATATAATCAGATACAATAAAGCATATATGAACATAAAAGGAACTTATATGAACAAACAAAAACAAACGTAAACGAACAACATAAACGAACGTTCACGAACATAATTGAACAAACGGGACCATTGTTCATGTTCATTCGTTTAACTAAACGAACGAGAATTTGTGTTCATGTTCGCTCATTTATTAAATAAACGAAGATAAACAAACTTCCCGCCGAACGGTTCACGAATAGTTCGTTGAACGTTCGGTTCATTTACAGCCCTATGTATATCGATGATATGTTTCCAATCAAAAGACAGTAGAAAGAGGACATATCGATTTTGATGATCAATGTTGGAGTTTTTTTGGGCTCTATTGCTTATAGAAAAAAAATGGTTCGAGGAGAAGATTTGATGGAAGCATGTAAACATAGATGGAGGAATCGATTTGAGGCGTATATCTCATCGGATAACATGGGATTAACTTTGAACAAATAGCACATACTACCTTTAACTTTTAGAAACTACATGTTTGATCCCGAAAACAATAAGCAACCTATATGACAATATAGTTACCAGCCAACGTGACTGCTATATGACATGGTAACCGACTAATGAAGGTGTTACCTGCTAAATGACATTTTAGATAAAACATTGCAAAGTTTAGGCATCTACACACATAATTTCGTATTTAGAGTAAAACTGTCATTTTATGACAAACTTACAGGTTTTTTGAATATCTCATAATTAATTTCTTGTTTTTTTGTGGGTTTTATACAGAAAGTTCAATTATTTTGGAAAAAATTTCGATAAAGTCTTAATTTTTTTTATTTAAACAGAAAAGTCATACTAAGTATTATTTTGGGAAAATCACATAACATGTCATTTCCAGTTAAAATACAAAAAATAACTTTTCGTTAATTTCGGCAAATTGTTAAATAATCGAGACTTTTCCGTTAAAAAAAAAATTTAGCACTTTACAATTTTTTTTTCCAAAATAATGAAACTTTTCTGCATAAAACATTTTTTTTATTATTTATAAATATAATATAGAATCAAACATTTTAACCCTTAAATGTTGGATAATGATAATATGTTATTGAAACATTTAGAACTAAAATAGTGATGATAATTAAATGATCACTAATTACTTTTAAATAAGAGAAAATTACAAATTTAGCCTAATACACTAATTATTTTGTGGGAAAATAGCCAAAAAAAACTCAAATTGCATTTTTAGCCACTAAAATCGCAGATGGGTATAAGCCATCTGCGATTTCGCCATGCCATCCGCGAACGTACAAGTGGCTAAAGCACAGACGTGCTTTAGCCACTTATACGTTCGCAGGTGGTTTTTATTTTTATTTTTTATTTTTTTTTTCGCTGTATATATACCCTTTTTCCAGCCTAAAATCGCAGATGAACTATGTCCATCTGCGATTTCCTCTCGTTTCACCTGCGATTTTATGATTTTTTTTTCTTATTTTTTTTATATTTTGACTACGAAATTGATAGGGTTTGACTACGAAATAACCTTATTTATGGTTCTGTTTTAAGATCTTACCATATTTTCGGGATTGTTGAAGAAATCGTCCATTATAACTCTAAGGAAATCGTAGGGAGAGAGTGTTTCTCTAACAAAGATAGTGAAAATGAAGGGAAAAAAAAACATTTTATATTAAAACTCTACGAAATCACAGATGGAAAACACCAAATAACAGTGGACTGTTCCATCTGCGAATGTACAAGTGCCTAAAGCACATTTGTGCTTTAGGCACTTGTACGTTCGCAGATGGAAATGCGAAATCGCAGATGGACTTAATCCATCTGCGATTTTAAGGGCTAATTTTGTAATTTGAGTTTTTTGTGGCTATTTTCCACAAAATAATTAGTGTATTTGGTTAAATTTGTAATTTTCTCTTTAAATAAATCCAAAATGGTTATCAATTTCCGAATACAAAAACTCAAATAGAGACTTGCAAATTTTGCAAGGTGTAGAATGATTCTATGATATAGAAGATTTAGCCACGACGAAAATACAAGACCTAGCAATTGGGTTTGTTATATAGGTTTTGACACGTATGAACACAGCCTACTTCATAATCAATTTTGATTCGGTTTCCCTTTTCTCTTTGTGGCGTCAGAGCGTTTTTCTCAATTCCCTTGCTCCCCAAGCAATTTGGAGACACAAATTCTTCAATAAAAGCTGCGATCAAAAGGTAATATTTTTCTTCTCGTAATCATAGTAAACATGATACTTAATTTGGTTAAAGATGAATATATGTATGGATTTCATTTCAGGATTAAGATCCTATTGGTCAAAGTTTTGAATTGAAGGGACATGGTAAAGAAGAACGAATCGATTCAGTATGAACACGATAATTTGTTTACGGACTCCGATCAATCTCCAAGGAATGCTATACATGAATATGAACTTGAGTTGATGTCTGAATCTTCAAGAATGACAGAACCCATTAAACCTCCGCCGCAACAGCCTATACCAACGAAGATGAATGACAAATTAGGGCTTTGCGAAAGAGCGTTATCCGCCGCTGGCGCCGCCTTCCTCTCCGCCATTATTGTTAACCCTCTTGATGTGGCCAAAGTATGTAATTTCTCTGTTTCCCCCTTTTCCTCTGCACCACCTTTACTTTTCTCTTCATTTTTTTTTCAAGCCTCTTTGGTACCCTTTTCTGTACGTCTCGCACAAGGGTTTTGTTACAAAACATACACCATCAATAACTTTTTTTGTATTAATTTTTTTTTAAAAGGTATCCAAATATTCAACTTGAAAAGCAACTGTTTTTGACATACAAACTCAAATTCAGATGTCATTCTCCCTTGAAAACTATGTCTTACTTATTAATGTTGCTAATTTGTTATTCATTCTTGTTAACTTCATATTGGGTGTTGATGCCCATGGTAATGATTCTTCATTTTGTGTATGGTTGTGATTTGACAGACAAGGCTGCAAGCACAGGCTGCTGGTGTAGCATACTCACATCCAATGACTAATCTTACGAGTCGAATGGCCGTTTTTGGACCAAACATGGTATGCTTGCTTTGTAATATTTGTTAGAATGTTGTGCAATCATTATGATGTTGATAATCATGTAATTGTTTGTTTTAGATGTTTGCGGATCTAAGATGTTCTCCATCATGTACGCGTGCTGGAGTACATGGTACAGTGTCCATCTGTCCACCAGATTGCTTTGAGTACAAAGGAACACTTGATGTTTTCTATAAAATTATTCGACAGGTTGGTCATCTTCTTCCTTTTATAGGAAATATATTTAGATATTCTGTAGTCCAGCAGTTTTCTAATTGTTGATCATTTTAAGATTTGTGAGTGTCTTTTCAGGAGGGATTTGCAAGATTATGGCGAGGCACCAATGCTGGTCTTGCATTGGCTATACCAACTGTAAGGCGCTGAACCTGATTTTTTTTTTCTTTTTCTTCGGTTAATGAATGCTTAATGTTAATATATTGTTTGAACAGGTGGGAATCTATCTGCCTTGCTATGACATCTTCCGTAATTGGTTTGAAGAGTTTGCAGCTGAAAATGCTCCAAGCATGACACCGTATGCCCCTTTACTGGCTGGATCATTGTCACGTTCATTGGCTTGCACTACCTGTTATCCTATAGAACTTGCTAGAACCCGTATGCAGGTTGTTATCAATAATACTTATTTTTATCTTATCATCTAGCAGTAGCTCTACTCACATTTTACTAATCTTTGATTTTTGTCACCACATAGGCATTTAAAGACTTCAACACTGGTAAAAAAGCTCCAGGAGTGTGGAAGATGTTACTGGATGTGAAGACAAATGGTAATTTAGATATAAAGTTATTGCACTCAAATTCAAGATTTTAATAATTGAGTTTATTTTTTTTGAGTGCAGTGCAAAGCTATCGCGCTCTTTGGACAGGTCTTGGGGGCACAGCTGGCACGTGACGTGCCTTTTTCTGCAATTTGTTGGTCAACCCTTGAGCCAGTAAGAAGGCGGCTTCTGAGTGTGGTGGGTGAAGAAGCGAATGCCGCCAGCATGCTTGGAGTAAATTTCTCAGCAGGTTTTGTTGCAGGTAGCCTTGCTGCAGCCGCCACCTGTCCGCTTGATGTTGCAAAAACCAGAAGACAGATAGAGGTATGTATCATTTGTTGTATTTCCTTTGATACGTTTTGGGTGGATTCTTATTTTTACTTTTATGTTGACTTGTTATCACAGAAGGATCCTGTTAGAGCATTAAGGATGACAACAAGGCAGACTCTAATGGAGGTTTGGAGGTATGTTGTTTCTCTTGGAACACAAAAACAGTTGTATAACTTATTGCACTTTTGTGAATTATTAATTATATTTGTTTCATCAGGGATGGGGGAATGAGGGGACTATTTACAGGGGTGGGCCCACGTGTGGGGCGTGCAGGGCCTTCTGTTGGAATCGTGGTGTCGTTTTATGAAGTTGTTAAGTATGCTCTGCATCATCAACGTTCAACTTCTTGACTAACATGATCTCAAACTGTTCATTCTGTTAGACTTGATCTCCAGCTTGATGATGATGATGATGATGATGATGATGATGATGGAGGAGAAGAATAATAATACTCAATACATTATGTTGGCATGAAGATTAGCAGAGTTTTTGGTAGTCAGTAGTAGTTTTAGATGCTCTTCTCATGAAAACAACACTAATTTCCTTTTTTCTTTTTAGTTTTCTATCTCCACGAACAAAGTCAAGCTGTAGTTAAAATTTTGTATTTGATGCTGAACAATTTTGAACAAAATACAATATATATAATGATCAAATCACTAATCGTTGTGTTTGTCGTTATAAAGTATGCCAGTTTTGTTTATTATTGCATCTACAAACCGAAACATGAAGTGGAAGATAGATAAGTAGTCATTGTAAATGCACAACTATTCTTATAAAGTATGAGAGTCTTTTGTCTACTGATATTAAAAAAGAAAAAAAAAAAATATTTTTTACATTGTAATTGTAAAATAGTAATAAATAAATACAACTCCTTTTGGACAACGTACGTCTGTCCATGCAATATGACCAAAATGTTGCATAATATAATCTCACATTATGCACCAACGCGAACACATCAATGGCTTATTGAGAGTGATATAGCTATCTGGGCGTAGGTCACGTACATGTCTGGGATTTCCTTTATTGAGCATTGCAATTATCACAACAATCTTTTTAAAAATTTATTATTAGTTTTTGTTTTTACCCTACAAAAATATACATGGTGAGCGTAAGTTCCATAATATGGAATAATTAATTATGCTCACAAAATTAAATCTTTCATATTATGAATATCAAAAAGAGACTAACGAATCAATACAACGTAGATCTAAATATACTCTCTACCATCTCATCATTCCCACCCTTCAAACCTCCAATTCAAGACGAAATATCTTTGACCATAAACTTGGCTTTCCAAGAAACACAATTCCATGCACAATACATCTTTCTTGATGAGCTCGTGTTTCTTAGGAATAAAAGGATGACGAATGGTGAAAAGAAACTCAAACTCAATGAATGAGGTACGTTAGCGCCAAAGCCACCACCATTAGCACGCAAGCAATCCCTTGATCAATCGTTAATCCTGTTTCATCACCGCATATATATAGGCACACACATCAACTGATACAAACAATAATAGATATAAATAAAGATAAAGAGACAAACTGACACGGACCATCGACAGTTTGATCATCAAGCTCAGGGAATTGAGCCACGGATTCGGAGGTGAACCTTGGCCTTTGGTTTGGTGCCATTGTATGTGTCCTTAGCAACGCTAACGGTAGCTCTGCAAACGTCTCCGTGAGCAGAGTTACGTTTCGGGTGGTTTTGAAGAAGAGAAAAAGAAAAAGCCCGAAATTAAGATCAAAGTGAGGGTAAAAGAAACCAATAAAGGATATTGATGTATGGTGGTGAGAAGAGCAAGGGGAGGCCACACTTTTATGAGAAATAATCAACCTATTATTCGTAATATATCCCTACAACTTATCATAATATATGTAAAATGCCTAAAGTTTGATGGTATCCAACACAAATTTCATGTTTTATCATCCAACATGTTAGAATAAAGGGAAGGTTCGTTGTGAACCACTCATAAGTCCGATTGATAATCGTTTTTCAGTTAGGAACCAATGATGATGGTAAAAGATAGAATGTCAAAATTTTATAATTTAATTAAGGAATGAGCATGTTTAAGTTTACATTTTATCTAAATTTTGTTAAATTTAACATCCTGACTTTATTTTCTAGAACATCGTAATTTTATTTTATCTCAAATTGGTAATTTTCTCAAACTCATGACCTATGTTAAAGAAAAATAATTTTTTTTTCTGAAAATGATTCAAAATAAAAATACGTGATAACCTTTTATAAAAGTTGTTAGACCTAAAGTCAGTGGCGGAGCGATTGTCAAAGTAAATGAGTAGCACAAAAAAACAACTTCTGCATAATATACAATAAGAAAAAAACCATGCAATTTCATTAAACATAACAAAGTGACAAAATAGACAATAAAAATATATTATATTTTAAAGTTCACATCTTCGCTCTTTCATTTTCCAAAAGCGAGTTTCGTTTGCTTATGAAAGACTTCAGTAATATATTGGTTTTTTCTCAATAGCAAATCACACTTTTCTTGTGTCTTTTGGTGATAACTTTGAATTTTACCTAAAGGAAGATCATTCAAATCAAAAGTTTGTAGCACTTGTGGTCGTTGACTAGGTTCATCAGGTTGTGGTCCTTGTGGAACTTGTGGTCTTTGAGTAGGTTCATTAGGTTTTGGTTCTTGTGGAACTTGTGGTTGTTGGGTAGGTTTATTAGGTTGTGGAACTTGTGGACTTTCATTAGACTTATTTTTTGGAAGTTCTTCCACCATTATCATTTTTTTTGTCTTTTTGAAAAAAATTAATTAATTGTCTTTTGAAAAATTTATTAATAGAACCCTACAATCAAAATATTTCAACTATAAACTTGATTTCAAGTTTCAACAACAAATAATCACTAACTATTAACTTTAAGTCCCTAATTAAACAAACATAATTGCTAATTTCTAATTTTTCAAGTTTCAACACAATGCCAAGTGCCAAATAATGAAAATTTCAAACAACCTAACAATAAACAATAGGAATATGATTGAGTTAACTTACTTGTTTTATTATGCAATGTGACCTTAAACTCGTCGTTCGGAGATGGTCGTGGGACTCCGCCGACAAGCAGCAACAACAAATGACGGAAATTGAAGTAACAATGACTTAACGAGCAACAACAGGAGAAGTCGTTGATCGATCACCCTTATGTTTATATTTCACGTTCCTTTCTTTATCAAATCATTCAAATGGGTACAAAATTTGAATTATGTTATCTCTTACTTCATTAAAAAATTAAGCTCAAATAAAAAAAACAAAATTCTATATTTCTACTTCATAAAAACTAATTAGTTCAGTTTTAAACAATAAATATATATCAAAAGGACTTATCTACGTATTTTAGTTATGACTTATCTAACATATTTTAGTTATGGGTTAATGTCCATCACATACAATATTTCCTGATTTAGTTTAAAACTAGATTATGACCCGCGTAAAACGCGGGGAACATATAAAAGTATAAAAAAAATTGGCACTATAACAGAAACAAAGTAACAGAAACAGATTTAACATTATTGGTAACATTGAAATGTCTGAAAAAAAAACAATGAAACACCTAAATATCTATAATCGTTGAAGGATCTCTTTGTAGACATAACTTTTTGTTTTATTAGTTGGATGACCTTCCTCGTCATATATGAGTAACTTCAATAATTTTTCACTTGTGACGCGAGAAACAAAAAACATATAACTGACAATGAATGAAGACGGGCATACGCAAGTATAATCCAACATTTGATAATTATTGTCATGGACTTTTGTTAATGGCCATAACAAAATAAACAACTATGGGGAATTGCTTCCGCTAAAAACGGAATGAGATTCTTTTATTAGACGGAGTTAACTTCCTGCAAGGTATATAAGTAGTCTCATTAAAGAATCTAGCATATATGATTCAGACTTCAATGACGTGTCTTCCAAAACAATATGTAATCTAGTATCATTGCATAGTCATTTGGTTTGCTCGATAGTACGAAGTAACATGACTGGAACACCTATTTTTAGTGTAAGTTTATGGTTGGAAATTCTAGATGCCTTAAAAACATTCAACATAACTGAAGAGTAGATTGATTCCTCAAAAAAATCTGGTAATTCTATCTCACATAAAGAATTTGAACTCATATATGTTTTCCCTTCATCTTTCATCAATCCTAAAATGTAGCCATTGGTAGCATCAAATTCTTCATTTGTAGGTACCAAAATAGCTTTATCTTGAAAATATGATGGATCATTAAGATGGTTTTCAAATGATGGATAAATGGTGGATACAATTGAATGAATATGGTCACCTGTAGAGCGAACAACAACGTCTTCTGGAAATTCAACTTCAGCTTCACTGTTAGGTGCATTTCATGTACCCATTTTGTAGCTTTATTTCATAAAAGTACATTGCATATAGGCTTAAACTCATGCATTTTGCATGTTTTTCGGGATTTTTCATGAGGCAATTTCATTCAAATACTTTTGTGATATTTCAGGGACTTTGGAGGTAGGATATGTTGGAGGAGGTAAATAAAAGTTGCGGACAAAGTTTCAGGACTTGCGGAGCACCGAGGAGCAAGATATCAAAGAAATGAAGATTTTGGCTTTACAGAGATTTACACGGCCGTGTAAATGCAAGCCTTGCGTTTACGCGGGCGTGTAACGTAGATTTCTGCACAGTATATTTTTGCGTTTACGCGGGCGTGTAAATGACAGTGTTAATTTACGCGGGCCGTGTAAACGTAAATGCGGGTTTTAAAGCAGCAGTTTTCACCATTTTTAAAGGGGGGAACCGACTTTTTACTTTGGGGGGGGGGTTCGACTTTTGGAGTAGAGAAGGCGATTTTCTTGAGGATTTTGAAGTTGATTAACACTTGGGAACATTTGATTTCATTTTGTAAGAACTTTAATTTCATTTTCTAGATTTGTGATCTTGTTCTAGTCATGAGTGGCTAGAACCCTAGATTCTCCAACTTTATGTCTTGACTTCTAGTTGTGATTTCAATCATATGACTTTTTGTTTTCTTTCAATTTTCTATCTAATGAATTTGATTTTGTTTCAATCGAATGTTTGATTCTAATTGTGATTCTTATTGGCCATTTGAATTAGGGTTAGATCATCAAGTTATCTAATTGCAAAAACCGTAATTGTTTTGTAAATTGGACTAGGTAACAAGCACTAAACTGATTTCTATTGAATGAATTTATTGTAAATCTTATTCACACATTCTTATGCTCCCGAGCTTATGAGGAGTATTGAGTGTTATTGGGAACATTCACATAAAGTTTAATGCAATCTTTCAACCTAATTCTAAGAGTTTGTTTAGATTAGATGGTAAGGTTGGATTAATCAAAGAGCTTGTTTGGTTAATTATTGTGGTGAATGGGAAGTGTAGCTTGTTAAACTTGTTTAGTTGTTACCCTAATGGAGATTGTATATT